GCGAGAAAGACGAAGAAAAACGTATCCCTGCTGATGACATCTTATCCAACGAGGATTGGCGCGTGCTTGGTGAGGTTAACGAGATACTTACGCCTCTATATCATCAGACAAATGCGAACCCAAGGCTGGGGTAAAGGCGACAGCCATGGGCGCCTGTGGGAAGTTCTGGTAGGAATGGAATGCCTGCTCGAGCATTTTGAAGACTGGAAAGGCTTCTACAATGAGTTCACGACCGAAACAATAAGGGCGACGAATCTAAATGATCCCGAACTAATTGGAAGAGCGACTGCGCCTCTGAGGGGGACTAACATCCGGCCGGCCCGTTCCCGCCGTCGCCCTGCTCGCTTCGAAGGGGAAGAGGTCTATGTATCCCAACAGCGAAGTCAAGCGCCAACTTTCACGGTAGCTGCCTTGCCGGAGCATTCTCAGGCTGAGTATGCGGCGCTTGACAAGCCACCGGCGTCTAAGATTTCCCAGAAGAGCTCATTACCAGCAGACCACCGAGCATATATTCGGGCATCGATCAACAACGGCTGGAAGAAGCTGGATGAATACTACAGCAAGCTCGGAGAATCTCCCTTGTTTGCGGCAGCAGTCATCCTTCATCCGAGATTCGGCATCAGCTGGTTGGAGGCTACTTGGGCCACTGAGGAGCAATTGGCCTGGGTTCGCGATGCGAAGGCGGGCATAAAGGACTACTTCGCGCGGTGGTATCAATGGAACTAGCGGACGGACGACTTACAGTCGAAGTCTGCTTCATCATTAACGAACAGGGGTAAAGAGGATGATCACTACACGCAATGGATCAACAGCAGAACGAAAAAGGCATTTGCAACGAGCAGCAGTGTTAGCGAGATGGACAAATACCTCCGTCTTGAGCCACAAGATACGCAAGAGCCAATCCAATGGTGGAGGGACCACAAGCCTTCATTCCCGGTGCTAAGCAGCTTTGCCTTGGATGTCTTTGCCATTCCGGCTATGGCAACCGACTGCGAGAGGCAGTTCAGCCTAGCCAAGCTGACACTAACATCGCAAAGGCTCGCAATGGGCGCCGACACGCTGGAGCGAGTTCATTGTCTGAGGAACTGGGTCCGACACGGCGGGGTAAAGCTGGGCAGTTGGGTCGGTAATTGAGGCTTTGGATCCGGCGTAATACCTTCACATACTCAATATATAGGCCTCCCATACAATTGATTGAGACGAGCCAATCAAATCAAACAAATCAACTTTGGACCGAAGCCCCATCAAACAAATCAACTTTTACCTCAAAGTTGATTTGATTGATTTATGATGAGCGCTGGAATAGACCTCGCTCAGCGAGCAGCATTGGAACAAGTATCAGCCAATATTACGGAGTCGGCGACGAAGATACACTCGGAAATCTCTTCGCATCTTTATCCACAGACCTTTTCAACCGCTCCACAGCCCCATGGATCGCAAGGGCTTCATGAGCCACCATGGGAGCTCCGTTTCGATTACGAGATACACCTTTCGAATGACTTCCTAACCCAAGGAAGACGGCAGCAGCGAGTCAGAATCCCTATACCAGGGCCAGAAACCGACCCACTACCTTCCTCCTCTCCGCCTCAATCAGCACGGGAGCAATCGTCACCCACAAAGGCCGAGTTTCAATCTGCCCTGAAGCTAGTACGAGAAGTGATTGGGACGGATCGGAAGCTTACCCTCGAGCTCGCTCGGTCATACGAGCGAGTACGCCAATGGCGAGAGAAATGGGGTTACTCGCCACTCAGTTCAGATGCGCTTGAATCGCCTCCTCCCTACTCACCGCCCCGAGAGCCGTCCACCCAAGCAGTATCCCCTCAAAAGATCAGATCTTCTCCTCTTCGAATTTCCTCGTCCCCTGCCCCCGACCCGATCCCGAACCCACCGATCCCAGGCGACCCAGCGCCGTCAGCCGAAGCTCTATTTGACTTGATAAACACCTTTGCGAAAGAGAGTGGCTTTGGTATTGTCCGACGGAACGCCTACTCATATAACGGTCGGAGGATGAGATATTCTTTCCAATGTGACAGATACGGAGAACCACGGCCTAGCAGAGGTGCAGGTCTTCGGCAACGGAAGTCCCGGAAGTGCGGATGCAAGTGGATGGTGATAGCCGAGGCTCTAGAAGAGGGCGAGTGGCTCCTACGACAACACCCAAACCCGGAACACAGTCAACACAACCATGGGCGTAGTATTAGACCGTCTGCGCACCCTTCCCATAGACGGCTGACTACACCCATCAGGGCAACCATTGAGTCGACAAGCCGTCGGGTCGGTATCCGGGCCCGTGACGTACGGGCTGTGGTCTAAGAGCAACACCCCGAATCAACCTTCACGCAGAGGGACATCTATAACGCCCGGGCTCTCATCAATCGAGACAAGTTGAATGGCTATACTCCTACTGCAGCACTGATCAAGCTATTTGATGAGATGGACGTTCCTTACGTCGTTAAGTGGGCGGATGATGAGCCAAGCCGCCTCGTTGGCCTTGTCTGGACCTTTTCCTACTGTCTCCAGATGTGGAAGCGGTTTCCCGAAGTCATCAGCTTCGACAACACATACAACACCAACCGCTTCAAGCTTACATTATTCCAGGCAACAGGACAGACTTGCCTTGGTTCTGTCTTCAATGCGGCTTTCGGTCTGATCGACAACGAGAGACGGGAGGGGTTCCAATTCCTCTCTGAGAGTATTCGACAACTGGCAGAGCAGCACTCCATTTGCCAACCGGACGTCATCGTTACCGACTTCGACGATCAGATGAAGGCCGCCCTGAATGATCAGTTCCCTGATGTACAGCAGCAGCTCTGTATCCACCACATCAATTCGAACGTCCTGCTCAAATCAAAGCAAAAGTGGGTCAAGGGCCGCAGTAGTAGCAGTAGTCCCGACAGCAGCGACGAGGATAAGTCTACTCCACAGGTACGGGCTGAGCTTAGCCCGAAAGACCGACAGTTAGTCCACGCGCCGACATCTGAGGACATCCCTCATAGCTATCGAGGGGTTCTCATGATGTGGAAGCTCGTCTTGTTTGCCGAGACTGAGGACGCTCACGAGAAGGCGTGGAGAAACCTCTGTAGGGAATTTGATGACCAGCGGGCTATCCTCCGGTATCTCCATGGAACCTACATGCCTGTAAGGGCCCAGTGGGCACGCTGTTTCATCCGCAAGTATCGCAACTTTGGCATCCGCGTCACCTCTGGCACAGAAGCAAGCAACAACAACATCAAGAGCTACCTTCTAAACGGTATGAGCCACCTGTATCGACTTGTCGAAGCTATGCAGGACATGATGAAGGACCAAGAGCGGGACTTCAACGATGCCTGCGCAGCGGACGGGGTACTCACCGCTCGCGAGTATATAGGGTCTAGCTCGGAGTATCTAGGCGAACTCCGGACAGCAATATCATCGAAGGGCCTTGGGCTGATCAACAAGCAATATCGCTTAGCTCGCAAAGCGATGCCGACTGGTAAGAATCCGTTCCCGGAGCCTCTCGGGGGCTGCAACGACGACTGTTCGGTCTCTGTCGAGCTCGGTATACCTTGTTGCCACAAGGTCTACTCGAGGTTAGGGTCTGCCACACCCTAGTCCTACAGTCCAAAATCAACTCTAGTAGAGTTGATTTCATTGACCCACTTTAAACCTAGTAGGGTTGATTATTGCCAGGGTGTAGAGTTGATTTGACATTGTTCTATATACAGGAATAGTAGTGCTGATCAGAACAGGGGTTTATCCAGAACGCGCGACAGTGCGGTTTGGGCCAAATGGCGGCCAATACAGAGGCGCCCTCCTTTCAATATTTGCGCGCCTGGGGTACATAAGTTGTTCCCCAACTAAACCCGAATACCATCAACCAGACCACAAAAACGGGGGAATCAGTACCATTGAAATAATAAGTGAATTTTGCATGGGTTTTTTTATATTTTTGCTAGTTTTGTAAGTATCAATCTATTGCACTGGGTGCTAGAAGTTTTGTTTCTGCTTCTGTACACCTTTTTCGTTTGAGTTTGCTGACATCAGCGGGCGGGCGCGCCCTCTGCAGTACAAGTGCAGACACAGAACTCCTTGCCAAAAACTCGTAAAAGTGAGATATAATATACTAGTAAAGAATATGCATGCTTCCCTAGTAGATTGTTCTTATTTCTATATACTTAAAACTCTCGTTTTTATAGTTTGGATAAGGGTATTTGGGCTTAGTTGGGGAGCAACTTATGTACCCCCAGGCGCGCAAATATTGAAAGGAGGGCGCCTCTGTATTGGCCGCCGCCTACGCGTTCAGGAGTGGAGGCGCGCCTAGGCATGTCCCTATCTCCTGAGTGCGTGAAGCCCTCCAAGGCGTACCTGTTAGATACGCGAGTAGGGTTAGTATCCAATTAAAATAGGGTTAATTGTCACCCTTGAGGATTAATCTCGTCCCTAGGAGCTTCTGTCTCTGTTCTGTCCTTTTTGGTGTTTTCCCCGCTACCCGGTATTGATATATCCGGGGACCCACAAAATACATGTTTCTTTTATCGAGGCGCTATCACTAATCCAACAGTACCCCGCCCCAGTGTTATGCCTTTAACAGCTAGCGCCCTTTATACGGGACCTTAGGGAGCGTGACTGTTAAGGTCTTATCATACGTCTACTTAAGCCTTGGGCGAAAGATAGGCGAGAGTGAGGTATCGCTTTTAACGAGAACTCTGATTGGCCTGACGTCCTTGTCGTGACCACATTGGAGGGCTTCACGCACTCAGGAGATGGGGCCCCGCCCGGGCGCAAATTCTAAAATGGCGCCCAGGCGCCAGTGTATCAGTCGCCAATCTAGCTGTATGCTTTAAGTAACTCTGCGGAATGGAATACCCCCGCACGAAGAACAACAATCAATCAACACATTTGCTGCTACTCATCACATTCACTTTAACCCTTTAAGCACGCTCAGTGCGACAATTACCCTCCTCAGCGGTTGAAGCGGGCATCAACCTTGTAACGGCCAAGAGACGTCCCATCAGCTACCAATGGATGTGGTCACCAAGGCGCTCGACGCCAACGTCCCCGCCATGAGCGAGATCTTTGATTTCTTGCCCGTCCCCACTCTTGTCGTCTCACCGTCGTATCGCATACAGAGAGCCTCGGCTGGCTTGCTGGAGGCGTGGGGTCGCAGGCGTGAAGAACTTATCGATCAAGACCTCTTCATTGCCCTCTACCAGGGCTCGCCGACCGAAAGATTCGATCGTATTCCCTTCGTCTACGCCATTGAAACTGCTCTTGCGGCTCGAGCTCTCCGTCTGTGCTATGCGGCCTATTTTGCAAATGGTATTTCTTGGACTGCGCGCATTATGCCTGTCCACAGAGATGACGAACTGCTGTGCTTGATCTTGGAATGGGATAAGGCCGAACTCCATATCACACTTCCTGATGGTAGGATAGCGCAGAGCTGGCTGCCTATTGATGATACTTTCCGCATCCTCATCCAAGATGTCAAGGATTACGCCATCTTCCTTCTCGATACCAGCGGAAACGTGATGACCTGGAATACTGGAGCCGAGCTAAACAAGGGTTACAAGAGGGAAGAAATCATCGGTAAGCACTTCTCGACTTTTTATGGCGAGGAAGATATCCGGTCTAGGAAGCCCGAAAGAGAACTCGAGATTTGCTTGCGTGAAGGTAGGGTGGAAGATGAGGGTTGGCGCTACCGCAAGGATGGCAGCCGATTCTGGGCTAACGTCGTTATCACGGCCATCTATAAGAACGACATCCACGTCGGCTTCGGCAAGGTCACCCGGGATCTTACTGAGCGAAAAGACGCAGAACTGCGGCTAATTGCTGCTTACGAGGAGAGCACGAAGTTGAAGAATGATTTTCTAGCAAACATCAGTCACGAGATCCGTACGCCGATGCATGGTGTGCTCTCTGCTTGCTCCCTGCTTCTAGATAGCCGCCTAACCGAGGAGCAGCGGGAGACGGCTAATATGATTGAAGAGTCTGGCCATGTGCTGTTGCGGACTATCAATGACATCCTCGACTACTCCAAGATTGCAGCAGGCAGTTTTTCCATCAAGAATGACAAGGTTGATATCGCTAGTGTGGTCACATCTGTCGTGCATTCTGTGCAGACCACTGTGCAACCGGAAGTGTCGCTGAGACTGAACCTGTCACCAAACTTGCCAAAGTGGGCAGAAGGGGATCCTCTGAGGTGCCGCCAAGTTGTTGAAAATATTGTCAGCAATGCCGTGAAGTTTACCGAACAGGGGTACATTCTGGTGAGGGTATCGCTGCTCGCGGAAGACGTGGCCACTCACACGATCCTGACTGAGGTCTACGACACTGGACATGGTGTGACGGAAGATGACGCCCAGAAACTGTTCAAGCCATTCACGCAGCTTGATACTCCGTATCAGAAGCGTCGCCAAGGAACTGGGCTCGGACTGTCCATCGCAAAATCAATCGCTGAGCTGTTGGGTGGGAATATTGGATACAAACCTAACCCGGAACAGAAGGGCAGCATCTTTTGGTTCTCAGTAAAGCTTAAGAAGCTCAACAGCCTTCAGCAGATCCAAACCGTCGACGCTCTGCCAGACCCTAGCAGCGACCTGTCGCGACAGGAGGTTTCACAAGGCGAGGGTCTTGCGGCGCAGCTGACACAGTTGGTGAAGATCTCGCCGACGGCGCGGATCCTCGCGGCCGAGGATAACATTATCAACCAAAAAATCCTGGTCGGAATGCTGCATGACTTTGGATTCCAGCACATAACAGTTGTTTCGGACGGCGCCCAGGCGGTCTCGACACTATCCGAGGCGGCTGGTGCCTTTGATCTGATACTGATGGATATTAGTATGCCGGTCATGAATGGTTACGAGGCGACGGTCCGGATACGGAACAGTGGCATACGTCTACCCATAATCGCCATGACTGCCTACGCGCTAAAGGGTGATATGGAGCGTTGTTTGGAGAAAGGCATGGATGACTACATCTCCAAGCCAATGAATAGGCAACTGCTAATGAAGAAGCTGCTAAAGTGGCTTGTACGCCCGGGCGGTGCGGTGCTGGCCACCACTGCACGAGGGCGACAGAAAGTTCCGCCTTGTCAGCATTCGACTTCCCAGCAGTAGTGTTGAAATATGTCACAGCAGATTTGTGGACTTTGTCTTTGACGGCGAAGGAGTCGCATCTCTTGCAGTAATCTTTGATGTTGGGCACAACAGCCTTATAATCGTCGTTGGCTGGGAAAGGATCTTTCAGAACGCCTCTGTCCTTCTTTGAGAAAGCGTTCATCAGCATACAGGATGACGACGATGGAGCTGTTGGTACCAGCGTCGCCTCCATCGACAGCCCTTTTGACTGAGTGGCTTCAGTTCGGGACGGCATGCCTCCTAATCTGTCAGAAAGAGTCGTTGAGGGATACCCCGTTTCTGGGCCGCTCGGTTTTGTGAGAGGCCGTTGTCTGCGACATCTAGTATACAATCGACAAAACCACCCTCTGGGTAGGATGTTGGAGTCATTCTAAAGACAATTCGCAAGGGTTGCTGCATGTATAAGTCAGGTGAGGCTTCATGGTGGCCGGCACGGGAAGAAGGCATCTGCAGAAATTTTACGCGAGGGGTCTGTGACCATATTGCTTCTCTGTCACAATCTTTACAATCTTTGTTAACGTTGTGGAGGTAGCCGTTTGGAAAGTCAAGTGGGGCGCGACGTGACGCGAAACGGCGCGATGGCTGCGGTTGCGGACAGCATCGTCGCGAACACCGAGAACCTCAGCCCTCAGGACTCCAGCACGCGCAAATCAGATCGGCCACGAAAGCTAACAGCGGAAGGAATGGAGAACTTGTCCGGTAATGTTGGGATAGTGATGCAAGCCCTGGTTCGCGAAGTACGCGATGAAACAATGAAACAAATGGCGAAGGCGCAGCAGGAAACCGTGAAGGAAATCACGACTTCTCACGAGAGAATCATCGAGACTCTGTGGAACGCTTGGAAAAAGGGGCAGCAGGCGCTCAAGCAAATGATTGAAGGCCAGGAGAAGGCCATTGGGCAGCTACAACAAGATATTCAAGGCATTCAGGCGCAAGCCGCACAGGAACGAAAGCTGATGCAGGAACAGATCGACGAGCTCTGTTGAGATCCGTGGTTTTACGGATCAATGGCTGTTCCGATCCATTTGGTGGCTGGATATGAATGTCCTCCTGTTAAATAGATTGTGCCAGGGCTGCCGTCAGATCAATCAAATCAGATTAGGACGTAAATCTGAACTGAACTGATAATTTGCCCTCTACATCTGATCTGATTGATTGATTGATAGATATCTGATATATAATAGGTCACGTGGAGCTATTCCCAGCCTCACGATTCTGCCCGTGGGATCTGACTGCCTTGTTGCTTAAGCATAGGCCCCCCGGAGTAACACACCCTCCCCTTATCCAGTTCTTCAGTAATTGGATCGACTCAATGCTCGATCCAAGTAGAGAATGTCGCTGTGAGCTGACTGTAAGCTTCGCAAGACTGAATGTTCTCTTGCAATCGGTTGACATGGCCGAGATTGCAAGGACATCCAATGCAAATCTACTCAAACGCGGGATTGCTATGATCAATCCACCAAAGTCTGGCTAAATCTATGCCGTATCAGAGCGAGAGGTAGAAAAAAGGGGTGATCTACCGTATTTACTCACGAGATTCGGAACGCCCTGTGGAGTCAACTACCCTTTCTTACGGCTGATTTAGCAGCATATAATTGGCCTTTTTGGATTTAACACGGCTATAATCGACTTTTTGAGAGTCTAAAAGGAATGAGCCACTTAGTACATGGCATTTGACTCCACAGGGCGTTCCGAATCTCGTGAGTAAATACGGGTACCTTTAGATTCGCCTCTACCTAAGACCCCGGCAAGCAAAGGTCCCGGACCAATCAGCTCGGCTGACCCCTGTAACATCGTAGCTTTTCAGGAAGAGCCACTCTCTCCGGAGCCGGAACATACAGATGATCCGGCGGTTCTAGGGTAGCTGCTCCATTCAGATATATCAGATGTACAGATGCTTGTGTTTGAATTGATTGATCTGACGAAATTTCATATCTGATTTGAATTGATTGATCTGATTGATATATCTGATCTGACGGCAGCCCTGCCCGTTCTACCCAGGGTGCTAGATGAGATACAGTGTTAGTAGTAAACCGCTGTTTACATGGACCGGCCAGCATATGTAAATAGTGGTTAAGGAGAGAAAAGCGGGAACTTTGGGGACAGCTGGTCATCGTCCTTGACATTGGCGAAATGGAGCATCACGGATCAATACTGATCCGCGGGGCTTCAGCTGTCCGCCGGACCCCACTAACCGGGGCATAGTCGCTTAAATGACTACAACCTTGACAACCGATGCTATTTTAAATTTTCATTTTTTTTATTACTTAATCATGACTCCTAAGCTCTCATCTGCGCGCAAACGCGGTAGGCCGTCACTGAACGGCGCCTCATCATCACCAGATTATTCAACCCAGCGAGCGTTACACGCAGCGCAGCGCATTCATCAAGCATGTGGCATGTGGCCAACTGAGTTCTGCAAAGGTTTTGTACCTGAAACTTGGGGTATTCGACTTATCGAGGGCCTTTCCGCGTTGGTCTCTCTGGTAGTGGCTGCTGAGAACGTGGAGCTCGACGAGGTGCGCCATAGATTGAAGGTTTTCGCTACTAGCCATCCGCGCTCAGATCGCCCGCGACTTCGTAAGTCAGATATCGCAAAGGTGCGAAAGTGGTTACGCAGGATGGGAATTGATACTAAACAAACACGGCGATGGAATGGACGTGCGGATGATCAAGTTGATGAGGATGGGACTGCAGACAGTGAAGGAACCGAGGCAAACTCTGAACCGGTTGATGAGATTATCGCGTTAGGCCCTCGAGAAGATCTCGGCGAATATGAAGAAGATGAAGAAGAGACTGAAGAAGATCCCGACTTGACTGTCGAAGAGGAAGAGAGCGCCCCTTATGAACGAAACCTTTGGTCGCGAAGCAGAGACATCGGTGATCTTCAGGATGATGAGCCTATGGAGGACACCATGGCGGCCAATCCCAGGTCTGCGCCCGCCAAAACCAATGGGCAATCCAGAGGCAGTCCTGTCGCCTCCAGCTCCGGCTCCAACGCAGCCGAGTCAAGCGCTCGCCCTCGGCGCAGCTTTCAACCACCATCTCGCTTGGTTCATGATACCCCCCAGAGCTCTATTCGCCGTCCAGAGGGACCAGATGAACAAGTTTCGGCGTCTTCTGCTGCTACAACTCCGCGGGCTTTTCAAAGCTCGACGCAGCCGCGCGAACCACCAAGCTCCCAAACGATGGCGCCTCTCCCCTCTGCTTCTCAGAACGCCCAGGGTGCTCAACGATCTGGTGTGCAACCGCTCAAGCAAACAGCGTCATCTGTTCCGGGCAATCCTCAGACTCCCGTGTCTCTTCCTGCGACAACTCCACAGGGCACTATGCGCCCTCCGCAACAACCAGGCAGCCAGGGCTCAGCAACCGCGGCTCAGAACTCTGTACAGCTTCGCGCACAATCAGCAGAATCTCTACCTACGCCCCAGAGCGCGCGACAGCCTGACCAACGATCAAGTAGCCAGCCATCAATGGCTGCTACGAGTTCTCAAAGCTCCTCTGCTCCTCGCGCACAAGCAAGCTCGCAGCCAGCACTGTCTCGTCGTACCAGTACTACTTCTCAGACCTCCCAGAGCTCTCAGCAGCAACCGAATCACCGACCATCGGCGTCTACCAATGCGACTCCTCAAGCATCTCTATACTCCCACCTAGGAGGCAGTGAACCATCGACACCTCGTCCCATCGCCCCTGCTGGGGCTAACAAGCGCCCTGCTCCGTCATCGCCAGTAAACACATTTACATCTACCAACAACTTCATCAACCAGACAGCGGCGAGCATTTCAGAATCATTCACAGCCTCTTCAACCAAAAGACGAAAGACTGCTGACGTTCGACGCCCAAGTTCACAGGTGACTGGATCATTGGATTGGAACGCTCTTCTTGTAAGCAATATTTGCAAAAACAGTGAATCCGATACGGTCATCATAAACTAACTTCCTTTCAGCCCACCGGAGACGAATTCAGAGCAAGCTTGAAGGCCGCTTCGGCTGCCTTAGAACCTCATATCAAGAGCTTCGAAGAACTCTTATCATCCATCAACGACGAACACCGCCGACTCACCGCCGTTGAGCGCAGCCTCAGACTTACAAAGGACAAGCAAGTAAAGGACCAGGAAAAAGCCCAAGACGCGCTCAAGGATGTAGAGAAATCAATCACAATCGAGAACAAGATGCTCAGGGACCTGGAAGATCTCTACAACAAATATCCTGGGGACAACGAATTTCGCACGTTCCTGGATAAACGAAAAAGAACGGTTCTCGAACATGAAGAGGTATATACCATAGTCAAAAACCAACTTGACAAGAGTACTGCTGGACTTTTCAAAACCGACAGCAAGATTGCGTTAGTCACCAAGAGGATTGGGCAGCTTGAAGCTGAGAAGGCCGAGGTCATGAAAGAGAAGATGGGGATTGATACGGCAGCGAAACGATTGATTTTTATGTCTCGTTTTATGGAACCCGGCTGGCAAGCTAGACTGGCTATGGTTGAGGAGGCTTTGGGGGAAGAAGTTATGCGGTCTGCATTTTGACGAGGGTTTCGTTTTTGTGAGTGGTGGTCGAAGTTGCAATATAGGGATATCAGCTTTATTAAGCGTGGCGTTGGTGTGGAGGGGATGCCTTTAGTTTGTTGGGACAAGTAACGTATTAAAAGAAAGCTATCGAGATTACATGGACTTGCTGTCATGGCCCAGAGGCTGAAAGAACTGCATGAAAAAGATTCGGCATTGAGTGCTATTACGCTGAACTCATGTTAGAGCCATGATGTATTTATGAGATTGTTCTCGACGAACTGACACTCTAGTCATTACCTAGCTATGGAAGAAGATGCAAGCCACTAACTCTAACTTCAGGCTGCCAATAAGATAACAAAGAACACTATCTCCAGTCAATAGACTGTCACTAGTGTCTCGACGCCATTAATAAGTTTTGAGTAGTCCGAGATCAAGTCCTTTGGGCAGCGCTCATCATATGTCAATCAAATCAACTTTGAACCTCAAGTTGATTTGATTGATTTGATTGATGCACTATACCAATTCTATGGGTGGAGACCCCTTCACGACATCCCTCATGTATCCCAAAGGTCAGTTACCGACCCAGCTACCCAGCTACCCAGCTTTACCCCGCCATGTCTGACCCAGTTATACAGGCACTGAACACGTTCTAATGTATCAGCGCCCATCAAGAGCCTCTGAGACGTCAACGTCAGCTTCGCTAGGCTAAATTGCCTCTCACAAGCGCTTGCCATCGCTGGAATAGCATAGACATCCAAAACAAAGCTGCTCAGTGAAGGAAACGAAGCCTTGTGGTCTCTCTACCACTGGATAGCATCTTGCGTATCCTGTGGCTCGAGACGGAGATACCTCTCGAGCTCACTGATACTGCTCCTGCTCCCGGGCGATTTGCTTGAACTGTTCACTCCGCTGCGGCGACGAACGGATAAACTTGACAATGTTGCGGAGCTTACCAATGGAGCCCTTCGTGCGCCAATGATCCAGGTCCTGCTCAATAAGGCCGCGCATGCTGTTGTTATCAGACTCCAGCTCGAACGAGTCGGCGTCTTTGCCAAAGAGAAAGGCTCGCGCGACGAGACTGAGAGTGTGCCCATAGCATCGCATCCGGCGGGCCTTTATATCAACAGGCCTTATCGATGGATCGAGCTGCTGGTAAATGTGGTACAGACAAGTATCTTTTGCCGCCATGTTATCGGAGATGGCACAGCCAGAAGGCGGGATTGCTGATGCCCCAGTTGATCGATAAAGTGCGCAAATACAGCCATGATTGCGAAGCGATTCGGTGACGTCCAGAGGTCGAAGCTAATGTGCACCGCTGTCAAAGCGTTGCGGAGCTCTGCTTTGATGGTATCCCGCTTCGCTTCAAAGAGTCGATGTATCTCTCTAGTGACAGAACTACCACTCCACGCCACCTGGAGTACTAAATCACTGTCGAAATGGTTGAAGATCTTCCGAAGAAAGCTGTGCTCGAAGATGGTGAATGGCACATCGCTATCAATGACGAAGCCGACGCTTAGTTCTTGGATGGCTTTTATTTTCGCCCTTGGTATGGCGCTCTGTTCAAGCCGGCGCCTTTTCGGTGTTGCACCAGAATAAATATCAATGGCACTTTCATCACCAGGACTTGGCTCACTAGACTGGCTGGCTGCATACATGGGCAAACCGTTTAAACGGTCGAATGTTTCCTCAAACGTTTGAACGGTTCAAAAATATTGCAAACGGTTAAACGAACGAATGAACGATTTATTACGGTGAGAAATATCCACCGCGCCTGCTCTAATACCAGTCAAAATAATGCCCACTATCATCGTCAACGTCCTGAGAGTTTTCCTCCGGCCGTGGGATTCCGATTAAACCCATCCCGTCCTCATGCAGAGGCTGTATGAGTCCTTGACGCAACCAATTGCCCATACATTCAATCATCTCGATAGTTTTGCATGTGATCCGTAATCTATCCCATGAACATGTTCTTCTTGCCCCAGAAAACGTCCTCTCCGGCTCCGATGACTCTGCTGGGATAGAAAGAATGGAAATAGCCATGCGGCTAAGTTTCGGATACTGCTTTCTCTGCTGTGGTTGACACCACCACTCCAGAGGCGTACAATCCGGAGGGATATCTGTTGCATCAACGTTGATGAAGCTAGTGAAATCATCCCTGACACTCGCGTTAATAGTCCTAACCTCCAGCTTCTTTGATAGTATCGCGAGTTGATTTGGCTTCTTTGCCAGCGGTGGTGGCATCGACGTAGGGGTGGAGGGATGGTCGCTGGGTTGCTCGTAATTAAATTCCTTTTGCCAGAATGCTGTGGCCGAGGCAATAGTATCCTCATGCCATTCCTTTGACCAGTTCTGCTTGATATACGCGATGCGTTTACGGGGATCAAGGAGGAGAGCGGCGGCGTATACGGGAACCTCGTCAGTTAGGCAGTAGTATTTAGAGAGGGTAAACCATCCCATATCGATGGCTCGATCCATCCGTTCGTCGGAGTGTTCATCCGACTGATATATCTTCTGATACAATGTTAGTAATCGACTCGATGTGGATAGATTGAAGGGTACCTGTTGTTCTTCGTAATGGAGTAACAACATATCCATCAGCATCAACGATTGTGAGATAGACGAGTCATCTCCCTCTGCATACAATGTTGCTGAAGCAAATGGCTGAAGAAACGTATGTGCTTTGCCTAGCAACTCCCAATCTCCAACTAATAGCCGATTGTCTCCGATGGCCTCTTCGTGATCAGACATGAAGGACTGGATTTTGTCCTTCTTTCTAATCGCACGATCAATGACCTGTTACCAGGACAGGGCTAGAAAATCGTTTAACCGTTCAAACGGTTTTAGGATGCCCTTAAACGGTTAAACGATTTAACATGCATAAACGTTTTAAACGGAACGAACGAACGAACGAACGAATGAACGAAAGGTATGCGAACAAGCTGTCCCCTGATCGCAAAAGGTTCTGCGTTAGACTTGTATGCTTTCCGGGTGAAGTGTATAATTGCCGTCTTTTCTGCCTCGAAGGTCGCGCCACTTCTCCTTTCCCAGTCCAGTGCCTTCTTGATAATTTCTTTGGTCCCATCACGGTTGCTTTCTACCGTTGGACCTGTTACCCAGGCCGTGAAATCATCCACAAACGCTACCGGTCCCCCATAACATAGAGTACTACAGTTCATCACCAACCCGGCTGCTCTCAGCAAATAAGTACTTGTATCCCTATTGGCAATTTGTGAGCGATGTAAGCTTCGAATTGTGCCACATTGTGGCCTTCTCTGCGGTCTGGTTCTCAGGTTCCTTGCCTTTAACGCGCTACGAAAGTGGTTTGACTCCATGACATACTATAAAATTAACGTTTGATGACACGCAAGTGACGCACTCTAGTGTGGCTGAAATGCAAGAACCCCCTCCCGCATCCTGTCACATTCAGCCCACTGACAGCAGCCACCCACTTTTCGGTCAATGGTTTCACAACACCAATGAAAGCTTACCTCCTGAGAGGTAGTCAGTATTTTAGCGCCGATCGACGCTGACCAAACTTAAAGTTAGCTGCGCCGCAATTTGCGGGCGCGGTCGTCGCTTGGAGGATAGGTTCATGGATCTTGCCTGCTGAAGGCGCCCATCAATCCCACTTGCCCATATCGCACACCCCCCTCTGACATTTACGAGGCATGCCATCCACGTATTGAGCCGTATTGAGGAGCACTTCAGCCAACCTATCGCCCGGTATCAGTGACGAGATAGAGAATTTACCAATTCTGAAGTCAGCACGGTAGGAAATGGTGCCGGGCTTATCATTCCGCATGCTCTTTGGGAGAACTGCGGCCAGAGAACAGCTAAAGTTAGCCCGCCTTTGGCCTCGAAGATCCAAGCCTGACCGCCAGCTCACAGGCGTCGTGTTCCGTTAAGACGCCGATAAGTGGCACCGAGACCAACACGACTACCCCGATGGACAATCCCAACTCAAGGGATCGTCTTCATACGAACAAGACCCTTCGATCGCGGAGTATATGCAATGCCTCCAATCATACCTCTTCTAGTTCAGCAAGTTCCTCTGCGATTTCCATTCCTCTGGAAGCTGCGTCCCAGTCGCCCTTGGATACCGCCTGGATTTGGTTGGCCAAGAACCGGTTCCCCCGAGACTGGCAGGAGACATTCAAAGCACTTAACATCCATGGAACCCAGTCCCTGGAGCCCGAGGCTGGCCGCGGCCGTGGTAACTCTAACCAGCAAGTATACCCTAAACTCGCCCGAGAATGCACAGATAGCGGAACCGGTTGGGGCCAGCCGAGGGAACGAGAGGAAGGGCAACTAATGGGACAGCTTATTCAAAGCATCGTTACCGGCCGGTCGGCTGAATCTACCAAGAGCTCGAGTTCACACGGCCGGAACAAGTCTTCCAGTGGTGGGCATGGGAACAATCTACCAAGCGCTGGAACCGATCCTGATCCCAGTTTGGACCGGCCCGGTTCGAGCTGGGGACCAGGTCCAGAAGACAGGAACGACCACCAATCACATCAACGATCAAAGACAATTAACCCTGTACGGACGTATGTCCTTGCTACCATGGACTATTGGCACTACCGAATGTGCGATATCACCGAAGCGGAGACGGCGGCCGACATTCGCCAGGCCGTCTGTTTGCATCTGGGTTTGGGAGACTACAAAAATTCCTTGCTGTACCTTACGGAGGTTGGCAGGTTTGATCATGCCGATCCTCTAGATGACCAGAAACTTGTTACCACCAAACAGATTAGGGGAGATCCAGTGGGAACTCTCAAGTTCTTCGTCACACCTCCAGCAGTCCCTCCCGTGACCAGCGGCCTTACAGCAAACCCCAACGTGCCAGCATCCTTAGGTTATTTGGCACCTGGACTTGATGGCTCGAAACATAATCCGCGGCAGCGGTCAAGTACTTCACCCCCTACCTCCAGGTCTAACACATCGACGGATAACAAGATCGATGAGAAGGCTCTCTCGCAAGAGGCAACCTCATATCGCGTTGAGATGGAGAGAAAAGAGCGCGAATATCTTGCGATGCGGAAGCAGGCAGCAGCGAAGGGTAGCCCATTTAAGTCGGTTGGTCCAGGCATAACAAGCAACAGAGTTGTTGATTTCGATCAACCTCGAAGCTCGCTGTCCCCTCAGAGACCGCCTCCGGCACCGCCTACTAATGATGATAGCGACGACGATTCCGATGATGGCTTGTTCGCGATCTGTCTGGCAAATCGAAGCAAGGGCAAGGCCTCTGCTGAGAAACAACAGGGACATGACGCAGTTGACCACGATAAGCAGCCCAGTCTGACAATGAATACTTCTCGGGCTGAAAAGGGCCTTTCAGTGTCCTTTACATCTCCACAGTTTATGCCAAGCGCTGTTACACTTAACCCCAACCACGACGGCGTAGGACTTTCTCGTAAACCACCAGCAACCCCTCGATCCGACTCCAGGACATCTAGTGAGAAGGACAGCAAGTTGAGCCGACGGAAACCGTTCATCGAAAAGGACGTTTGGGTTAACCGTCCTCCAACGGATGCCCTGATTAACAACCTCGATGACTTCTTCCCTAACTTGTATCTTGATCAACCAGTTCTAGAAGAGGGAGAGGGTGGGGAGATACTTCCATCTCCTATCGCCGAGGCAGAAGAGACCTCTGGGGGCGCACCTAAGGCGACGCCCGAGAGAGCGCAAGGAGTTCCCGCAGCTGAACCCCCTACCGATGGTCTGCCTGCCGTTACACCCAGCCGACCGCCCTCTCTTTACAATGAGAACGATACTCATGGTTCTGATGAATCTACTCTTAAGGCTCCAGAACGACCTACTCCTGTGGCACAGAGAAGTCTCGGCCGTTCTAGTGGACTTGACCGCATGATATCCATTCGTGAAGTTGTCCGTGGCGCTCACGAGGGCAATACACGTATGGCTAGCACGTCTCAGAGCAGAGGACAGGCCTCCGGCAACATTGTGCAGTTCCGCCCGGATCGACGTGGCAGCATGATCACGCCCCAGAATCCTCAAGATACCCTCCCCAAGAGGCAGACAACATTCCGCTGGTTCAAGGGTCAACTCATTGGCAAGGGCACCTATGGTCGTGTGTACCTGGGTATGAATGCCACTACTGGTCAATTCTTGGCTGTCAAGGAAGTGGACATCAACCCCAAGGCTGCTGGTGGTGATAAGCAGAAGATGGAAGAATTGGTCGCGGGACTGGACCATGAAATTGACACGATGCAGCACTTGGACCACGTCAACATTGTGCAATATCTCGGATGCGAGCGCAAGGAAACAAGTATCAGCATCTTTCTCGAGTATATTTCTGGTGGCAGTATCGGATCATGTCTCCATAAGCATGGCAAGTTCGAAGAATCCATTGTCGCGTCTCTCACCCGACAAACGCTCTCCGGATTGGCATACCTGCATCAGGAGGGTATTCTCCATCGAGATCTGAAGGCAGATAACATCCTTCTGGATGTAGATGGCACTTGCAAGATCAGTGGCTTTGGTATCTCTAAAAAGACAGACAACATCTACGGCAATGACAAGACGAACAACATGCGAGGCTCGGTGTTCTGGATGGCTCCCGAGGTCATTCGATCACAATGCGAGGGATACAGTGCCAAGGTAGATATCTGGAGTCTGGGTTGTGTGGTGGTGGAGATGTTCGCAGGCCAACGACCATGGGCCAAGGAGGAGGCGGTAGGCGCCATCTACAAAATTGCCAATGGCGAGACGCCACCGATCGCTGAGGACATCCAAGGAACCCTTGGTCCGCTGGCGGTGGCGTTTATGATGGATTGCTTCCAAGTGTGAGTGCTTTCGGATAAGGATTTCCCTGTTATTGATGATTGGCTAACAACGAACTAGGGACCCCTTTGATCGTCCAACGGCAGACGTACTCCTCTTACAGCATCCATTCTGCGAGCTCAAACCCAACTTTAACTTTCATGAGACATCATTGTACGCCAAGATTAAGCCGATGCAATAGGAAGGTGCGAAACCATCCCAGTAAGAGGGCTGCGGCCTGGAAGAGAGGGGAGGCATTTTTAGTTTGGCAATTTTTGAGGGGGATATCATACAAGCTTCTAAAGAGAGCGAGGGATAGGTATAAGCATGAAGGAGACAGAGATGGGCGTTCTTTTGTTTGGCTGGTGTCCTTGAAGCTGCTCTGCTCGCACTGAGTGATGATTTACACATAAGGGGTAATTAATGGGATAACATGATAGCCCCGATAGTGTGCATGATAGGATACAGGGTTTTATTGTGACGCGGCTATGTGTAGCTAAATGATGCCTACTACTGTACAAAGGACCGTCCGAATCCCGCCGCATTATCTACTTTTCGTCCGTGCCAACCTTGGTGACCCCTACTGTACCAATTACCCCCAGTATCAGGTCCGGATACACGATTTGATGAAATCGTGGCCCGTGCACGCAACGCACCCCTATCACATTAGATCAGACGGTTTATGTCACGAGCCCTGATTCTCTGATGTGTCTCATTGGATGTGTGTATGTTCTTGGTTGGGTTGCTTCCCCGCTCTAAGTCCCATATACATCTTTATCCTGGGGTCCGACTGGAGTATCACTGCTATAACGATCGCACGCCCCATTATGTAAAATACACAACGTGACAAGATCACCAGTTTTGTTGGATGAGTGATAGCGCCTCGATAAAAGAAACGTGTATTTTGTGGGTCCCCGGATATATCAATACCGGGTGGGGGGGAAAATACCTAAAAGGACAGAACAGAGACAGAAGAAGAAGGACGAGCTCCTGGGGACTAGATTGATCCTCAAGTGTGAAAATTAACCCCATTTTAATTGGACATCAACCCCACTCGCGTATCTAACATGTTTCTGCTCCATAATCCATTGAATTCACCCCATCGTGCGTATCCAACAGAATCAGGGCTCGTAACACACATAGCTCGCCCTTGCATCATCAAGCGTCATCACCTCTTCCTTCTCCCCCCTCCTTTCCTATTCCACGTCTTTTATCCCTGTCGTGAATATCTAAAGGTTTTCAATCACCTCTTCTGCTTCTTTTTACTGTTTGTTATTTTTGCGCCATTGCTTATCTTATTGAACACGTTCTCGACTGGTTGTGTCTCCATCAAATACCACACAATACTCTGCAAAAGGACACTTGGAAAGAACCTTAATACTCCTCGCGATAAGATACCTTTGCCGAACAGCAACTTCATCGAACAGTTGCGCAATTTAGTGGACATGGCGACCTCACATTCTTCTGCTACATCGACCACTCCGTCGCGCAACGGCAACGGTCGTGTCACATCACCAGACACGACGCCTTGCACATCGCAAGCGCCTGTCGCAACCCCACCTAAGAGGCACCCGCACCGCATCTACCAGCCAGCCAAGAATTCCCTTTACGACGTCTTTCAGCAACATGCTGGCACGGCGCTCTTTGTGCGCCCCATCTGCTGGACTGATTTGCATGCTCAACTCCTCGGTGTGAGATGGGAGGAACTACCACCATGCGATACACCTCAGCCTACGATATCCCCAGCTACGCCACCTTCGCGAGGGCATCTCAGTCCGTCGAATACAATCATCATTCTTAGCAACGCGCTCACACAGATTCTTCTGCCCGACCCGATGCACCCTATCTTCACCTCCATTGCCGTCAAGACAGCCCTCATGACACTATGGCCTAAAGCCTTTAGCAAACCGCATTACTTACCCGAATTCCATCTATACTTTGGCGGTCTCGTTTATCGTGATGCTGTGCCCGCGCAGATCATGTGGAATTTTCCCTCTGATGAGATGAAGTCTTCCTACTCTTCCTTCAGGTCAGTATCAACGCGGCCTGCCGAATCCTTCAACATCTCAACACAGTTCCCTCCAGGTCAAAGCCATGCTGGTCTACCCATGGTTTGTTATGTTGGCAAAACCCAGCTGGCGTCAGTCCGAAACAACTCATTTCGCCTCGCATGTGGCCCGGGGAGATCATGGAACGAGCCCGTGTTTCGTCTCCAGCAACTCAGGGCTCGCATGCTCGTGCCTTCAAATTTGGATCACGATGCACACTTCGTGGGCATATTTTTAGGGATGGCGCAGAAGCATTTTTACCCTTCCCCACTTATCAATGGCAGACGCGACTCACGAATATCCCCAGAGCAAGGCATTCCGCCATGCCCTAACTTTCACGACCTCAAATTGAGGATCCTCACCCACGATACAGACACATTGGAGTTTATTGTCTACACTGGATACGTAACAAAGGAATTTTTGGAAAAGTTCCATGATCCGTTCAAAGCCCCGCTCGATGATGACGATGCTGCCGTTTCAGGCCTCAAGATCGAATACACAAGGGTTCCTATTTGGCCGATTCTAGGGCTACGAGAGAGACTTGGCAAAGCTTTAGGCCAGGAGGTTGTTGGTGCTTTTAATCCAGGCGATATAGAAACGTGGGAGAAAGAGCCCGAGTAACAGCGGCGAGAAGCGCAAGCGAGAGGTCCTCTGAGTGATTAACAGTAGCTTCGAGGAGGTGTTTGATGACGAACCGGAAACGGTGTCAAAGAAGCGCTCCCCGAACTAGATTACTCCGGTCGGTGTGGTCATCTGGGAGTTGGAAGTTGCGAATGCATAGAGCGAACAGGGCCTAACGCCAAAAAATGATGGTTTGGTGGTGCAGACACGCCCTAAGACCGAAACTCAACCATCAAGCCCTCCGTGAACGGATGATATGACTTGGAACCGGCGTGCGAATATGGAACTATGATACCATGGATACGAATGCGATGGTTCAAGGGGTGTTTTATGATGACTGCTGAACACACTATGGCCATGCCCGAAATTATCCTTTTCCCGCCAACTGTGCTCACCAGAGGCCATTCAGCTCTATCTCCTACGTTTTCATCACCATTGCCGTAGAGAGATTTCAAATGGATTATTTCATGGATAAACAGAAAATACCGAATTGACCAGCATGAGATGAAATAAGGAATTGGGGGTAACTTAGAGTGTGGAGTAGGCGGAACGGGGAGCTCCATAGGATGGGTTCGTACGGGGAAACCTTGATGATGTTGCCACTTGCCTAGGTAATGCAATGCTAGTACCCTCGCATGGGTATCGCCAACTTTTCGAACAGCGTATGCCCCGCCCTCAACAGACGGCCCTCGATTCGGCCAGAACTTCGGATTACTCACCCAACAAGTAACATTCCAGGATAGCGATAGGATAAGCTATTCCCGTCGCTGACCCCTAGCATGAACGCAAACGTCTTCGAGCCGTAAAAGCACGATTAAACCACCAACAAAGCCAGGGGGAGACGCCCAGAACAACAACATAAAAACTTGATCAACCTCTACGACTGTTAACAGCTCATATATTCGCTTAAATGCACTCAGTTTATGATAATGCTGAGGAAAGGATAATTGTATGAGTAGTAAATGCAGTGGCTTGATAGATCGTGACAGAGCTCCTAATAGTCCAGACCAAAAACTGTACTATTAGTCCAAACTGCAGTCTAGACTAATAGTCCACGGACCATTGGTCCAGTTTGCGTCTCTCGGGCTAAACTGACGGTCCAGTCCGAGGGTCGCAGACTAACAGCCTGACTATTAGTCTGTCCCCAAGATTTGGGCGACTCAGAAAAAGTTTTTCCAAATCTATGGCTTGGTACAGAGTGCCAATTCAACTACGCGATCCAACACGTCCAACGCGTCACACGCGTTTGGGGAAAATTTCGAAGTTATGCTAAGATATGTTAGCCGGTACTGCCCAGCACTGCGTTAATATATGGCAAACCAAGTACCTTGCAGCTTAAACTATCGGCCTAACGAGACCCCACAATTACATGTTTCGACCTGCTCAACAGCAACCTAATTTTATTACTTTGTGTCGCAGGGTAGGCATTAGTAATCTAGCTATATGCTTTAAGTAACTCTGCGGGATGGAATACCCCGCACAAGAGATAACTTAAGACATCAATCAACACATTTGCTGCTGCTCATCATATTCACTCTAACCCTTTAAGCACACTCAGTGCAACATCTCATTATGCGGCACAAGACTGCAGCAGGTCACTCGCCCCGGCGTCGTCTAGGCGCACAGGACCTGTGTGCTCGGGGCACAGACCCCCCTGTCAGCAGGCTAGGGGCACAGCCCCCTGACTAAGCATTTCCCGTTGAATTAGAAATTGACTGAATGTACTAACGCATTCAACGGAGCCGACAGCTACCCTTTGACTGTGATTATTGAAATAGGGACGGGAAGGGCTAACCAAATTATACACAGCTATGACAGCCGGAGAATGTTCAATGGCTTTGCTACCGAGTGACCGTCTAACACCCATGACTTCCAACAATGATACAATCTTCTGTGCGCCCACTAGCTAAGTGCAAAGCTTCTTGTTCCCTACTGTCTGCTTCTATTCTCTCCCAAATGTCTTTGACGCCTCTTCTTCTATTGGCCAAAGGATTGTCTCCCATCTCCTCGGCGACCTGGGCTTCAATCCGCTCATCCTCCGCCTTACTCCAATCCAAATACGCCATCATCTCCTCTTTCGTCCATTCTCTTGATCCTGTTGACGTGATACAGCGCTTGGACATCTGTTTGTAGTCCAGGCACCACTCGTAGCTCTGTTTGTCATACCTGAGTGGGAGCCCCATCGCCCTGCGATATTGTTGGTTCGTCTTGATGCTGCCAACTGGCTGCACTGCGTACCACGCGCTTCTTGCAGCAACATATCTTTCATATATTTCCTGTGGAGAATCGTACCTCGGTGGTGATGGCGATGGCCGGCCAAGCGAAGGGGGTTGCTCATGAACAGGAGATCCCGGCCGCTGAGAGGCGCCACCGGGCGAGTCTTGCAAGGTCCCAGTCATAGTCTCCGGCTGATCGGCGAGGACTGCCGGTGCCGCTGTCATTGCCGATACTTCTGTTTCTGCCAGTGCCTTTGCCTCTGCTGCTACCTTTTCCAAGAGCTCTTGATGCCGCAAGGGACATGCCTTCGAATTCATTTGGTGACCGACTTCATGGCATTTGCTGCATTTTGGCGGGGCCTTTGCCCTTGCTTTTCCTGTAGTCGCAGCGGCTTCAAAGGAGCTTGGTAGTCTTTTTGTACTTGATTGTGGCAGATTTGATATAGTAGCCCTTGCATCTATGCGAGTGCGAGGCTCCAGAAGTAACTGTTGCTGCCCTGGGCGCTTCAGATGCCAATGCTTGTGGAAATGCTCAAGAAGAAGAACTTGGCCTTGTTCTTGTAAGGTCTGAAGTAGGTGAGCGCAAGGCAATCCCAGTGTACGCATAAAAGTACCAGTGCAGCGAGGCAGAGGGGTTTTTTTATCCAAAAGCCGCTTTCGTTGCTCTTCAACCTTCCTCAACGCCTCAAAAGATACCCAACCTTGAACAGCACTATACAGAGCTATACGAAGCTCAATTGGTTGTCGAAGTTGCTGTTGGGCTTGATTTGACTGTAGCTGATGGACCTGATTGGTAACAGCTCGTGTAATAGCACCCCAAGCCTCAAATAGATCTAGTGTCGATGTATTTAGATAGCTTTTAAGTAGACTATGAATACCTTCCACACGAGAAGTAACGACAGTACCAAAGTGAAGATGCTGATCAACCCAAGCTTTTACAAGCTTCTCCTTGTGAGGGTTTAGCCACGTTGCATGCAAATATCCAATCTCATTGGCGTAGGCGGGTAGATATCGCTGCTCAAGCTGCTGAACCCGCTGATCAAAGGTTACCTGATCAGCTGATTGAATGATTAAATGCCACTGGTTATAGAACTCTTGCCAGCTAAGAAGCTCTGCCTCGATTGTCTTTGGATCTGTTCGGTGTTGAATAAAGGCCGGCCGACAATAAGCAAGGACTGCCTTATTAGCATGCCAAAGGCATAATAGAAGGACTGCAGATGGAAAGCAGATAGCAACTGCATTTATACAAGCTAAAGCACAGTCCGTAATAATGACAGACGGAAAGCTTGTATTGCAGACCTCATATAAAGACTTCAGTCGTTCGAGAGCCCATTGGTAGTCTTGTTCCTCTTCGCCGCTGAGGAATGCAAAAGCAATGCAGAATGATCGTTGACAGGCATCAACGCCGATAATGTCGAGAAGCGGCATGCCATACCGATTCGTCTTATATGTGCAGTCTAGAAGAAGAAGGTCAGGATATGCTTGCAGATAGGTAAGTGATTCAGGATGAGCAAATAAAACTGCTGTAACCCGTCCTTCACTATCTACCTGCATACGATTCCAAAAGCCTTCTTGATCTAGCTGGTTAATAAGAGCATGCATTGTGTTCTGGCCAAAGCGAGATGATCGTCGAGCTTCTGCAATGCTGTTGGAGATATCCTTCTGAGTTGCAATGGAATTTGAATGTTGTCGAATATAGGTTCTAATCTCTTTTGAGCTGATTCCAGCCTTTGTAAGATTGCTGATTGTTGATTTATCGTCTTTCGAGAGCCTTCGAAGAACAGGATGAGCAGTGGGATGGGTGCTTGGCGTGTGGTTATGTGTAGCATATTGACTATCCGATCGATGTCGTACAACCCAGCCAGATGCATCGGGTAACTCCTTTGCGGTGATAGAGAAGGGGCAGAGGGTGCTTCGAGTGCAGGTTGCTCGAATACGGCTTCTTGAGTCGCTTGGAGGCCGACGGGCACGATCGCAAGTGAAGTAAACTGTAAGTCTCCCAGACTTGCCTTTGTTGGACCTTCCGGTAACAAAAGCATAGCCTCGTGGTGCTGCCCAGCGATTGATCGCTTGGAATAGATCATCTCGAGATGCATATGTATGCTCAGGAGGTAAGCAGTCATCCGGAAATTGATCCATTTAAGTTAATTGATAAAATGATACCGAGATCAGGATAAAGATGCTTAGCCCCTGAAAATCGCTCCCTCAACATCCCATAAATGATGAATGCTTAGTCAGGGGGCTGTGCCCCTAGCCTGCTGACAGGGGGGTCTGTGCCCCGAGCACACAGGTCCTGTGCGCCTAGACGACGCCACGATCTCAACGATCATATGCTGACGTCACACGACTGACACCGTTCTTACCCCACAACGATTCGAGGACCTTAGCCGCTCCGCCGAACCCCACAGACGTGCTTTACTGCACGATTGACGTTTCAAGACTAGATGAAGATGAGGCTAGGCTCTCAGCCGGGACGATCCGAGCGACAGTGGAGAACCAAGTCCGATCCGAACTGGATAATCCCACGTGGCGATGCCGAGCGGTGACTAAGGACCCAAAGAACCCCCACCGCGTCAGGATCACCTGCAGGGACGAGAGCGAGCATGAGATTGTGAAACGCGTAGCGGAAACGAAACTGGCCCCAGGAGCCCGGATCCTACGAGACGACCTGTACCCTATCAGGGTGGATAATGTCAGCCGTATTGCGGTACTAGACGAGGAGAACGAAGTTCGAGTTGAGATCACCGAGACGCTCGGCCGAGAAAATGACACCGAAGTTGCCAAGGTAGCATGGCTCAGTAAGAGAGACACCCCCAAGGCGTATGGCTCGATGGTCATATATCTCAAAAAACGGTCAGAAGCTAGGCGGTTCATCAACGAAGGATTCTTTGTGGCTGGAGGAGAATCCGGTACTACAAAGGCGTTTGAACGTCGTGACCGCCCCAAGCAATGTTACAACTGCCAAGAGATCACGAGCCATAAGGCCTATCAGTGTGATAGACCACAAGTTTGTGGAAGGTGCGCGCAAGAAGGCCATCACCACAGTGCATGCACAGGAACGATTCCGAAATGTATCCCATGCGGCGGCCCCCATGAGTCATACAGCAGAAGCTGCCGGAAGCTTTATCCATTACAGCATGAATAGCATATTCCGACTGTTTCAACTGAATGTCAGAAAGCAAGGACCGGTACATGATAGTTTAATGAACGACAAGGACATTCAGAATGCAACCGTATTAGCCATCCAAGAACCCCAAGCACGGAGGATTCAGGGTAGGCTATTAACAATACCGATGGGGCACCACAAATGGGTCAAGATGGTGCCTACGACAGAGAGGGAAGGTAGATGGGTGATTCGGAGTATGCTTTGGGTGAACAGGGAGGTGGAAGCCGAGCAGGTGCCGATAGACTCCCCAGACGTGACGGCAGCGGTTGTTCGGCTGCCAGATCGTCTGGTCTTCACGGCGTCTGTCTACGTACCTGGGGGAGACGCCCAAGCTCTACAGGACATATGCGCTAAGCTCCGTAAAGCTATTAAAGAGGTGAGACAGAGATCGGGGAGAGCGGTAGATCTGGTCATCGCTGGCGACTTTAACCGCCACGACCAGATGTGGGGCGGAGACGATATATCAGTGGAGAGACAGGGCGAGGCGGATCCGATCATTGACTTGATGAACGATTTCATGCTTAGGAGCCTCCTTCGCCGGGGCACAAAGACATGGCAAAGCGGAGACTACGAAACAACCATTGACTTGGTTCTGGCGTCCGAGGAGCTTGCGGACGCAAACATCAAATGCGCGATACATGGTACGGAGCACGGGTCGGACCATCGCACGATAGAGACGGCGTTCGACATTTCAGTCCCGGCACCGAAACAGGAAGAAAGACTTCTGTTCAAGAATGCACCCTGGAAGGAGATCAATAGTAGGATTGTGGAGACGCTGAGAGTTAGGCCAGTGGGAAGCACGGTGCAGCAGAAAACGGACAGGTTGATGTCGGCTGTGCTAGAAGCAGTCCGAGCACTGACACCCAGAGCCAAACCGTCGCCATACGCAAAGCGGTGGTGGACCCATGACCTCACACAGCTGCGGCATATATACACATACTGGAGAAATCGAGCCCGAGCCGTAAGGCGTGCGGGGCAGAATGCTAAAGGTCTGGAAAATACGGCAAAGGCTGCGGCGAAGCAGTATCACGATGCCATCCGACAACGCAAGAACAATCATTGGAAGGAGTTTCTGGCGGATAACGATAATATCTGGAAAGCAGCCAAGTACATGAAGTCTGGGGATGAGGCAGCTTTTGGGAAAGTACCGCAGCTCGTTAAGGCAGATGGAACAGCAACAACGAGCCATAAAGAGCAAGCCGAAGAACTGCTAGCCAAGTTCTTCCCGCCATTGCCAGACGCTATCGAAGACGAAGGACCGCGACAACAGAGAGCCCCAGTAACGATGCCCGACCTGACTTTGGAAGAAGTGGAACGTCAACTGTGGGCGACAAAATCATGGAAGGCACCAGGAGAAGATGGACTACCAGCGATCGTCTGGAAGCAAGTCTGGCCGTCAGTGAAACACGACGTCCTCGCCATCTTCCAAGCATCACTGGACGAAGGCGTGATACCAGACCAGTGGAGACATGCTCGAATCATCCCACTCAAGAAGCCAGGTAAAGATGATTACACGATTGCGAAAGCGTGGAGACCAATCTCGCTTCTCGCTACGCTGGGTAAGGTGTTAGAGTCGGTAGTTGCTGAGAGGATCTCCCACGCGGTAGAGACTTACGGACTTCTTCCGACCAACCATTTCGGTGCGCGGAAGCAGCGATCAGCAGAGCAAGCCCTCATACTTCTACAAGAGCACATCTTCTCAGCATGGCGCTCACGGCATGTCGTGAGTCTCATCAGTTTCGATGTCAAAGGAGCATATAATGGCGTATGCAAAGAGAGGTTACTGCAGCGGATGAAGGCGAGAGGGATCCCGGAGGGTCTCTTGCGATGGATCGATGCTTTTTGCTCCGAGCGGACTGCAACCATCATGATTAATGGGCAAAGCTCTGAAAGCAGACCTCTACCACAAGCAGGACTTCCGCAGGGATCGCCCCTATCGCCGATACTGTTTCTATTCTTTAATGCAGATCTAGTGCAAACTCAGATCGATAAGAATGGTGGGGCTATTGCATTTGTCGATGACTACACTGCGTGGGTATCGGGACCGACAGCCCAGAGCAACCGGAGAGGAATACAAGCAATAATTGACAAAGCTCTCGACTTGGAGAGACGCAGCGGCGCGACATTTGAGGCGGAAAAGACGGCGATCATGCATTTCACCAGGTACACAGGGAGGGTAGACTCAGAACCATTCACTATCAAGGGTGAGAGAGTCTTTCCGAAGGATCAGGTCAAGATCCTGGGTGTCATCATGGACTCGCGGCTTCACTACAAACAGCATATCGCAAGGGCAGCAACGAAGGGTTTAGGAGCTGCGATGGAACTGAAACGACTGAAGGGAATGGCTCCCTCGACAACGAGGCAGCTTTTTACAGCCATGGTAGCCCCTGTGGTGGACTACGCCTCCAACGTCTGGATGCATGCGTGCAAAACAGTATCGGCGTATGCCATCCATCGAGTACAAAGAGTAGGAGCGCAGGCGATTATAGGGTCCTTTACAAACGTGGCAACGGCAGTAGCCGAAGCCGAAGCGCACATAGCGACCATCCATGAACGGTTCTGGAGAAGAGCGAGCAAGCTGTGGGTAGACATACACTCTCTACCACGAACCAACCCGGTCCGGAATCTCTTACGAGGAATCAAAGCCTTCAGACGCTTCATATCTCCACTCAGGCGTATCGCGGATGTATGCAGAGAGCTACCAAAGGATACCATGGAAGTCATCCAGCCATTCACCCTCGCGCCATGGGAGGCACGCCTACAAGTCATACTGAACAGTCAAGGAGAGGAAGAAGAGGACAAGAACAAAGAGCTAGCCAAAGCAGGATGGGCGGTCAGGATAGCGACAAGCAGCTCCGCGCGGAATGATCTGGTCGGCATGGGAGGAACTATCAGAATCCCCATATCCGTGGCAAGAGCCGGCAAGATCAGCGAAACCTTTTCGGTCACCCTGGGTACGAGAGAAGAACACAACCCGTACACGGCCGAACTGGCAGCTATCGCTCATTGTCTCAACCACCTGCCAGAGATGAAGTATCGAGTCATTGTGATCGTGACAAGTAACAAATCGGCTGCACAAGCTATAGGTAACCCTCGCCAGCAGTCAGGTCAAGGGCATATACGAGAGATATATGATGCTGTAGAGAAGCTCCGAGGAAGCGGCAACAGAATCAATATTATATGGCTACCCTCTAATGGTGAGCTCAAAATTCAAAAGACAGCCAAGATGTCAGCCCGTCATGCAACGGAGCCATACATGACGCCGCAGAGAGGAATGACCAAAGCGAAGACTACAATTCTCAATCGAACGAGGGCAGATCTACGAACGGAAAGGAAGCTACCAGATGGAGTTGGCAGGCATTCTAGAAAGGTTGACTCAGCTCTGCCTGGAAAACATACTCGCCTGCTATACGACCAGTTGTCATGGAAGGAGGCCAGCGTGCTTGCGCAGCTCAGAACCGGAATGGCGCGACTGAACGGCTATCTATATCAGATCAGGGCAGCACCGACGGATGAGTGCCCATGTAGGCGGGCAAAGGAAACGGTAGAGCATTTCCTCTTTCGATGCGTGAAATGGACGACACAATGCAAAGAGATGTTTCAGTGTACGAATGAGAAACGCGGCAACCTCTCTTTTCATCTGGGAGGTAAGGCAGCATCAGACGGTCAGGAATGGACGCCAAACATGGACGCAGTACGAGCCACAATCAGATTCGCGATCGCTACAGGTCGCCTAGAACAGAGACGACAGGAACACCACTAACCTAGCAACATTTTATCAACACCAACCGATAACCTACGACGCCCTCAAATAGTCAACAGCAGGCACCGCTTCAGCCGCCGAAGATAGGAAACTGAACACTTGGAGGAATTGGGCCTCAAGTTGACCTGCTACTACTAACACCAAGGAGGACCAAGAAGAAGAGCGATGACTAGACTGGAAGGAACAAGGCGAGAATCGTATGGGCTTGACGAGAGCAAGGCAATACCTAGCGAAGTGTATGTACCTTTAGCTTCAGAGCCCATTGGGCGTTGGCCTACCGGGCGTAATAGACTTGCATTGTATTATTCTTCATTCTGATCGCAATTTCCCAACCGTGCACGTTAGCAAGATCTCCCCTACTGGCCTTCATTGCGGTAGAACGCGAATAACGCAAGAATCGATACCCCTCTTAACACCATATCCTTACAGGTTTAGGTGAGTGGCCCTGCTCGAATGATACTAAATTATTGAGCGCGAGAAGAGTCGGCTCCAAGCAATTGGGAATGTAGAATGGTAAAATAGCTGTGCGATTTTTCGCCCGAATCCTGTATGACACCTGTTGAGCTGAGTTGATCGAATGGTTTGCATCGGCTGCATAGCCTATATACTAAAGCGCTCTAGCAAATTAGAAGACCAAATGATCATCTTGGTGTTGATTGAGTTATGTTTCTTGGGACCATATACAATCAATAAAAAAAAAATTATAAAACAAAATTGAAGTGACCCCGAAATCATGAAAACATGCGTTCAGCACAACGCCTCACTTCGTTGCGCAAGGGAGCCAAAGATACGAAACAGACACAAATTGCCCCAGCATTTACATAGATCGCAGCGTTACACCTTGGGTGGCGCGGCGAGAGGACATGAGTCTATCGTTAAACTGCTTCTAGACGCAAGAGAAGTCGGTGTTAATGCCCAAGCTAGTGCCGTCATCGCCGAGCCGAACGTATCTTTCGCCATATTGATCAACTTTCGACCACCTCTTTCGCTTCTTAACGAATTATTCCTTCCATTCCAAGCCTCATGTTCCTTATGCGCATCTCATCAGTATTGATGATATCTAAGATCGTGTCGAGGCCCATTCAACAGCCTATTAGCAACAAGACCCCCAAGCGTTGACTTTGCCAAAGTCCACTTGCTATGTCTATGTGCATATCCATCATGCCTCGCGTCTAGCACCGCCGCACCCACCGCTGCTGTTGCGACTCTCGTTCCCTTAGCTCCAATCCACTCACCAGGCTCTTTTCTTAGACGGAATACCTCCACGGCAGCGGCGTCGATAGCTGCGTTGATGGCATGTTTTAGCTTGCGTTGGGAAGCTTGGGACTGCTGCTCGCTTTCGTCGCGTCTCTTTCTACCGTGATGATGGGCTCTACCCTGATGACGGGCTCGGCGGGGTGACACTGGGCGGCTGCGGCGATGGTAGTAATGTTGTCGATCGACGGACTGAGCACGCCTCTTCTCGGAATGAGGAGTCCCAGAGCGACAACATCGAGCTGGATCCTCCAGGTCAAAACTTTGGCGACTTAGAGACCTGGTTCTTGGCCTGCCTCCGTGTTCGCTGCAATAGGCTTTGTCATCCGAAGAATCTGGATAACTGCCGTAAGGTGAACTCTTTCGGTGTCGCCGAGAGAACAGAGTATGCATGATTGGTAATAAAATTAAGTGAAACCTTTTATATTATGCATAAGTTATGCCACTGTCAAGAGAAATTCGCAATTCCATCCTTCGGCCTACCTTAAATATTGTCCCTCCAGCCCTTGGGGTCATCATACAATCACGTGCCAAAAGTCTGACAACACCAACGTGTCTACCCCGCTTCGGTCAGCATCACGAAACATCATCAATTACTTCAACGAAGAGAATTATATACTCAATGGCTTCTACGCCATGCGATTTTGGTGTTGAAATAAGCGGAAAGCGCCAAAGAAATCATGAATTTACTCCCGAGCAAAGAGCAGCTATGGTGGCGGAGATATATGCCGGCAAATCAATGAGACAAGTTGCAGCCTCTTATTTCACTGATCCCGGAACTGTCTCCCGGACAATCAAACGGTGGAAAAAGACTCACAATAACGCCTCTAGGCCACGCTCTGGGCGTCCTAGGAAACTCAGCGCTCGGCAGATTATATCTATACAGTCATTTATCAAAAGAAATCGCTCAATTACATGGAATAATGCTTTATTAGAGCTTGGTGTTGAAGTGTCTCCCCGGACACTACGTCGTCGATTAGAGCGTTATTGGCGCCGCAAATGGAGGTCAAAAAAGAGGATTAAACTGTCAAAAGAGGATGCAAAAGAACGGCTACAACATACGCGTTTTTGGATTCATTATATCGAGGAATATATAGTGGTAAATTGTCTTTAAAATCAACCCCTTCTAACGCTGACTTTCCCTGAGATCTGCTTCACCGACGAGGTCACGGTTACAAATGCGCCGAACAACCCTGACGCCTGGGTCTTTCGCCGACCTAATGAGAAATACCGTATGGATCTAGTCAATCTACAACAGCATGTTAAACCGACTATTTCTATGATGTTCTGGGGAGCTATCACTAGAGACAAGCAGTCTTATTTTATTCCTATGACACGGGATAAGACGGCAAAGAAAGGAGGTTATTCCAGCTGGTCTTATCGAAAGGCGTTAACGGAAGGTCTTCTCCCTTTTCTCGATGAATTTGATCTATTTCAACAGGACAACGCCCGGATACATACAGCTCAACCATCGATAGATTGGCTGCTGTTACATGGGATTAAACCCATTAAATGGCCGTCTCATTCGCCTGATTTAAACCCTATAGAACACATCTGGAAAGCTTTAAAAGCCAAGCTTCGAAGGATGCATCCTGAATTCATCAAATTAAAGAACAACAAGGCCGATAGAGCGAAGTTGATCAGATGGTTGCAGGAAGCGTGGGCAGCCTTGCCTCCCCACCTGATTTTGAAGCTGACGACTTCTGTGAAAAGTCGCCTTCGCGCTGTTATTCGCGCTAAGGGTTGGTATACAAAATATTGAAGCGCTGATTCAGGGCTATTAATTGATATACTTTATGATTTAATTAACTAAATATTCGTAAAGTAATTTGTGTTGATGTATTTAGTGTTATAACGAGGGTAACCGGATGTGGGGTTGGTGTTGTCAGACTTTTGTCCTTTAATTTTATTTACATCACTCTACACATTCGTCCTCAAAGTATATCCAAGGCGAATCACATTGTGCCACGAGCTTCTCGACGTACCTCGCCCCGCATGAAACGTCCCATCATCACGAAGGTACGTAGAGGGAAAGCCACATCAGATCCCCAAAACTGGGTTATCAAAGGAAAGGGGGTGAAAACCACCCATGTCCGCCAGTTTAACTCAGGGTTTTCGCCCGTCAAATGGTGGTGGGTGGCAGAGTGCGGAGCTTTGCCCTTGGCCCCGGTGCGAGATATTTAAAGTTAGCTATCTTTTTGAGTGCCACAAGCCTCCGGCATGTCACAAGCCCCATATCCCTTAGTAATCACATCAGTACGTGCGGGGTACGAAAAGTTCATTGGTACCTCTAGCTGGCGATGGAGAAGATTCGGTATCCTTGGTGTCCTTGGTGAGATACCATATAAAATGGTGGACACGCTTGCCCTTCTCAGTAGGGGTTTCAGTATCTTTAGGGGAATCCATGCTCGCGGAATGGTATGCAGGTTGGGTGAGTAGAAAAGTAAGGCAGGGCAGGAGAGGTGAAAAAGACTACCGGAGAGGATGGGGGAGTGTCTTTCAGGAGACATGAGGGTAGGATTTAATCCTAGCAGCAACGCTTGATCAGGTTTCCTCACCACCCCTCGTACCTTTCAATCAACAGATAAGCAATGACGTACTTACGATCAGCCTCGGCCGCTCTCGCACCGTAGTGTAAGGTCATGTGGTGAGTTTGCAGCCGACTTCTTGTATATAAGCCCGCCCTGGCTGGCTATCCCAACCAGGTCATCATTTTGATACCATCATCTTCTCCGCCATGCCTAACTCCCAGTTCACACAACGACCGACAACCCTACGGGCGTATTCAAGTCAAATGCACCAGTACACAATGAGTCAATTAATGGTTCTATCTGGTCCCTCTACTATGATCTTGGCGCCAACCGAAATTTCGGCCCCAGACTCCGATTCTTCTACTCAGAACCCCTAAAATAAAGTCTGGTATTACTATCGCATCCTGCATACGCCAGAGTCTGAGGAATGAGAGACTAGGAATTAGGATGATGGCGAGTTTCTTGAACGGATTACATGTGGTATCGAGATGAGCATAGCTGAATTGGGTCATGTAACCGCATTTATCAATCTCGTGAACGGCTTGAAGCCGAACGATACCACCTGGATAACGTACCAGAGAGCAAGACACTGTAATGTACTTCGTGCAAATGACGTCATGAGAACGTAACAACAGTCATATTATGCACCCCTCAATCAATTTTAGCGCTGATCGGGCTCCTCTCATCTGCCGAAGAATTAGCTGACCCTGCTTCAGCCTAGCAATGAACACTAACCTCCCTCATTTCTCTACGTCTTGATACTCGCAGGTCTATTACAGTACCATCACCAACATGGATACATACAAGCCTAGCTTACTTGATCTACCGACTGAAGTTCTGCATCGAATCGGCGGCTTTTTGATGCCTGAGCCAATGGGATATTCATATTAGCCTGATTAATCAATCAACCCCAGTATTCAGTTACGAGCTATGCAGTGAACAGGTTTTCAGCTTTCGCTTCTCATGATTCACGTTCATCGGGAATATCAAGCATAAGTGGCACCCGATCACCAGGAAGCGCGCGCAAGGCTGCGTATGCCACAATGTCATCCTTGCCTTCCGTTTCTAATCTGTCATAGACTAAAGATGTGCCTACGTGACATAAGTTCATTTAGCCAAACGCGCAAGGCGGCGTAAGCTACATTGTCATGCTGTTTATACATCTCTAACCTACCCTAGATTCAATATACGAAATTGCACCTTCCGAGAGCCCACCTTCCTTTGTCATCACACTTTCTTGGCATACAAGTGTTAAGAAAGTGGCCCTGTCTACACCTAAATCCTTAACAAGTGCACAACAAACATTCCAATCTGCGCTTTGCGCAGTCGCAAACCGCGGCGATGGCCTCGTCTACGACGATCCCGCCCGCTGCCTTGGATCCCTTCGATCTGGGGATCCACACTCCCGTCAACCTGAACCGGGGAGCCCGTGCAGCCCTCTTGCAGAACAGTCCGGCAGCCGTCAACGGCACCATTGGTGTTTCACCCGGTCCCAGGCGGATGGCTCAGACACCATCCTCACCACTCAACCCCGCCACCATCGCCGCAGTTACGGAAGGAGCTGAGCGTGCCAGTCCCGCATCCATTTTTGAACAACGACCGATCTCTATCGTTGAATCAGCCAACGATCTCGCGCGAGAATACGTGGAAGAGTACAACATCAAGCTGGGGGTTTTCCAGGCCTTTTGTGCCAAATTTGAAGAAGCGGCCCAGCAATTCGTCACCGGACCGCAACGACGTTTCGCTCAGCAATTTGCCGATGATTTCCTCGGCTTTTGGAAACGAGAGCTCTCCTGCTCCGGACCTGCGACCCCAAAGCCTACATACAGCAGCGTCGCTGCTGCCGCGCCTCCCACTGACCATGACCGTCTGACCCACAGACAACAACAACAACATGGACGCCGACAAACAGATCCACCTCATCGCCAAGGGCAACAGACGACTATCGCCCCACCCCGACAAGACCTCCGTGTCTTCATCCGTCTAGAAGCCGGAGCTCCGGCCAGGGCCCACAGTAGCTATGCCATCCGGACTCTGATCCGGGAAAAACTCGGCGCCGTCTCGGACAAAATTCGACAGGTGTTCCCGGTCAGATCGGGATGGGCCGTCCTGGCCGCCGACTCTGTCACACGCGACTTTCTGGTAGATAAACAAGCTGAGTGGGCCGCTGAACTGGGAGCTACAGCAGTAGAAACGAACAAGGAATGGTTCACCTATGTGGTCTCAGACGTTCCCGCAAGGCTGACTGACTTTTACGGTAATGAGGTGGATAGTGACAGCGTCGTTAGCGACGAGATAGAAGTCCAGACTGGGATCAAGCCCATTGATGTACGTACCGGAAGACAATTCTCGGATAACCCCTTGACCAAGGCCCTGCTCGTGTCCTTTCTGAAGCCCACAAAGAGATTCTGGTCTCTTTTCGGCAGCAGCGCAGCCAGGCTTGTTGACAAAACCGACCGACCCAGACAGTGTGAGACGTGCTGGGGCTACCACTTTGCCCGCAACTGTCACAGACAGCCAGTTTGCCGACGCTGTGGTGAGACTGGCCATCTTGTAGACGATTGCATCGCACGAGAACAGTGCATCAACTGCTTAGGCCCCCACCAGGCCAACTTCCGTAGGTGCCCAGCTCGGCCAAAGACAGTGCACGGCGTGCTCCGCCGACTCACTAAAGAGCAACGAAAGCATGTCCGGACCGTAGGTGCGGAGACATACCGACAACGACATCGAGAACGGCATCTGGAATCGCATCAGGAAACGCAGCAGGGCATGGCTGAGCGACGAAGCGTGGATGTCACATCACAAGAACAGCCTAACCATCGTGCTCCCAGCCCAGCTGTATCAGGAGCACCCTCGTGCATCATGGTGGCCACGACCCCTCATGCTGGCTATGAAGCAGAGGAAGAACCCGAACAGCCCAGACCAGGCTCACCGCGAAAGCGCCGAATCGTACTCATCACTCGTCCTCATGACCGGGAATAGATATTCTCAAACACGAAAGAACGACAGGAAGCCGCTCAAGATCTTCCAGGCCAACGTCGGCAAGATCCCTCCGGCCCACGACTGCGCCCTGGCGCTGGCCGACTCGGAACGATATGACATTGTGCTCTTGCAAGAGCCGTGGACGGCTCACACAGAGACCCGCTGTCTAACCAAGACTCACCCTGCATACGACACATTCACGCCGGTCGACATGTGGAATAGCAACGATACTCGGCCTAGAGTGATGACATATGTCCGGCGAGACCCCAGACTCCTTGCCGACCAAATTCGGCCCTTCCAGACCCGAGACATTCTCTGGCTCGCGATCAACGGCATGACCATAGTCAACTTCTATCGTCAGAACGACGAGAGGGACGCCCTAGACACGCTATTTCAATGGTCTGTCCCGGAACGTTGCCTCGTAGCTGGCGATTTCAATGCCAGACATCGTAGCTGGCAAACAGGCCAAACTACGAACCGGGGGCAAGAGATAGCAGGATGGGTGTCTGAGAATGACCTCAGCCTTCTCAACACTTTAGATATCCCAACAAACCCGTACGGCAACACAATCGATCTTGCCTTTACTAACCTACCACTTGCTGAAGCTATCGTCGAGGACCATCTCGCCACCAGCTCTGACCACTTCACGCTCAGCCTGACCTTCCCAGACGTCAGATCGACTCCGGTGCAGCCAGGCAAGATTCGAGTGACGACGGAAGACGAGCTTAAACGATTCGTCGAGATCGTAGAGCTTGGCGCTACAGGAATCCCCCTCACAGATTCGACCCCCGAGGAGCTGGACGAGCTTGCGTCTTCACTCGTGAGTCTACTAACATCAGCAGCAAAAGCGTCTGGGAGGCCCGCGCGGAAAGGCGGACGCCCGGCTCCCTGGTGGACGGAGGAGTGCGCCGACGCCGCGGCTGCTTTTCGAGCCATCAGAAGAAGCTACCCACTCGGCTTCAACCAGGACGTTCAGATCGCCAAAAGAGGCTTTCATCGTGTGGTCCGTCGGGCCAAGAGGCGCTATTGGCGTAACCTCATCGATGGCTTCTCCAGCAGTAGCGACGTTTTCAAAGCTGTCCGGTGGCTAAAGTCCCCAGGAGCCTTCCAGCCGCCACCTCTACAGGTCGATAACGTCGTGTACGAAAGCCAGATGGATAAAGCCAACGCACTCCGACAGGCCACGCTTGAACGAAGAACTGCGGAGGACGACATCGCAAACGCATGGACGCCAGTATTCCCACCTAGATCGATCCCATTCTCTCCCGAAATCTCTCTGGAGGAGGCGCAATATGCGACTTGTCACACAGGCAATACATCCCCAGGGTCAGACAACATCACAGTCAAACTTCTTGAAGCAGTATGGCATACCATCGGTACACACGTCCGGCGTCTCTTCGAAAGATGCCTTACCATAGGCCATCATCCAAAACCATTCAAGGAGGCGGAGGTGGTCATGATCGCGAAACCGGGACGGAGAGACCTTACCGAACCACGAGCATGGCGACCCATCTCACTGCTCTCCTGTCTTGGTAAGGGACTAGAACGACTGATCGCGCGCCGCCTAGCCTGGGCAGCCGTTCACTACAGCGTCCTTCATCCGCAGCAAGCTGGGGCGCTCCCCAAGAGGTCGGCAACAGACTTGGTAACTGCTCTGGTCCATGATATTGAAGAAGCGTTTGCACGCAAGAAGGTGGCGACTCTAGTCACAATGGACGTCCAAGGTGCTTTCGACACCGTCATGCGCAACAGGCTCGTCCTGCGTCTTCGTGAGCAAGGCTGGCCTAATCATCTGGCTCGCTGGGCCGGCTCCTTCATGGGCGGCCGGTCGGCGCGTGTCAGGTACCAAGACACAGTCACGCCCTCTTCTCCCCTTCAGTGCGGCCTCCCTCAGGGGTCGCCGGTATCGCCAATCCTCTTTCTGCTCTACACTGAGCCAATCTATCGATTAGGGAACCCTCAGGGTCGCTTCGGCTATGCAGACGACACGGCCATCCTGTCCATAGGCGACACAGTAGACGAGACTTCTGCCATGGCATCTAGTTCCATCGCCGAGATGGTGCGATGGGGCGCGGAGAATGGCGTGTCCTTCGACACGAAGAAGACCGAAGTCATGCATTTCTCCCGCAGCAAACTCAGGACTGCGCCGGCAGTGCGCCACGGCGATGTCGAGAAATACCCTGAACCAGCTCTACGCTGGCTTGGTATCTGGTTGGATAGCAGACTATCTTTTCGACTTCATGTCGAAAAGTGGGCGGCCAAAGCAAAGGCAGTGGCTTATCATTTGCGGGGGCTCACCAACACGGTACACGGCCCTCTACCGAGCGCCGTGCGAGGCGCCGTCAGAGCATGTGTCGAGCCAGTGCTGCTCCACGGCTCAGAGGCGTGGTACCCG